GACCTGTAAGATATCCAAGTGATTCAGACTGTAGGTGGCTTGACTGAATTAAATAAATAATTCAGGAAGAGCCAAGCAAATTCAAGAAGCCATTACACACTATAAGCAACAGTGGCTTGAAATCATGAGTAATCTGACATCTACCTTCTCAGATTCCTGATGAACCTCCAAAAGGCAATGTCCTAACCTGGAGACTGCCAAGTCCATAGACTGTCAAGATTTGTCTCTATACACTGCAGGAATGTATAAAGCTCCTATGCAGTTTTTTTGTTGTTTTAAATTTATTTATTTGAATAGAGCATTGTATTCACAGCATGCACCATTAAAAATGGAATAATCATTAATTTTTTCCTTTTTTTTTTTTCTGTAGTTTTATATACAAATTTGCCAGTACAGACCTATTTGCTGCTTTGAGTTATTGGATGCTTGTCCCCTGACAAGCTCTCCAAGAGGGTAGAGCATATGCTAGCTGAAAAGCATTGTACATGTAGATGCCCAGTATGAGAAAAAAAGAAGACTGAGCTTCTGGCATCACTGCTCAACTAAAATACGAAAGGAAAACACAGCAGTGGACTCTAACAAACAACTACTATTAGCATTCTGCATTTGTTTGTTTGGTTTTGAGTTCTTTCTCTCTAGTACATTCGAGTCCATTTTTCAAAGTTCAACTCAAAACTAACTGCTCTAAACAACATAACTGCCAGGTATGAGCTAACAGTTCTGTAGATGGTTTGTTGAAAGCAATTTAATAATCCCATGAACGACTTGAGGTGTGAGCCAGCAAAGATCACGAGCCCCAACTGCTAGCACCAAGAGAAGAATTCAGTGCCCACAAGAAAGGATACCACATTTTAGAACTTTTGACCTATTCTTTGTGGCTCAATTAATAATGATTTTATAAATCATCATAATCCTATTACATTCTTAAATCAATCATCTGATGCTACCTGAAACATCTGTCATAACATAATTCTCTGCAGGGAAGAAAATCCCAAACTTCAAAACCCACAGTCACAGAGTAAAAGACATATGCTTTTCAGTGCACTTTCCTGAACAGCATCTGATAATAAAACACAGATACTAAAATAAAATGCCAGAATATCAGAATGTGTTTGTTTGTTTTTAATTCTGAAGACCATGGTGTTATACTACAAATATTAGATCTCACAGGTATATAATTAGCCATAATACAAAACAGACATGAACTTGTTAAAGGCACAAGACAAAATTCCGTTGAGTGAATAATGTTTATTATTTTCATCTCTAGTACCCATAAACCAGATAAAACACACAGAATGAAAGAGGATCAAAACAGGGAAATTCTTAGGCAGAGATCCAGGTGACACAAGTTGGACAATACTAGGAGGAGCTGGGTAAACCTTCTCCTTGCAAAATTTATGCCTGCAGTGTATACTGAGGAAAAAGATCGATAATCATTAAAATCATAGTTTTTGCATCTGTCCAATCCATGTAAAGTTCTATGTTACCTATAACATTTGAATCATGTGTCCATTTTACACAAAACTCCCACTGGGCAAGATAAATGACTGATCTCTTTCACTGTCAATTTTAAGTATTAAATTTTTGTGCAAAACACTTACAAAGAAGGCTGAGAGCAGGGTGATATATCTAAAAAGCAAATGGCTAAGTGTTATCATGTGTTGTTATTTCTGAGGAAAACACAATTGTAAAATTAGGAAAGCAGCATGCTCTTCTCAGACTAAGGGCAAGTTACATAGAACTTTCATTACTGTGGCTTTTCAGTGTTATTAATTCACTGTCACTCGTTATTTTTGCATTGAAAATGCCATCTTCCGCAAAACTTTTCAGTTGCTCAAAACACAGTTATAGCTTCACTGAATCACATGCAACTGGAGCTAATAACCATGTTCTGCCATCAAATAGTCATGCATTGCTGCAGATCACATGCTTCCACAAGCATTCCAAACCACAGGAAGAGACAAAACCAGCAATTGTCACTAGCTTGTTTAATTTTTTAATGAGAAAAACTAGTAAAAATGGGGACCACTGTCTCCCAAACCAAATTTGCTGGCAAAATGATTAAAAACTGAAAAAGGTTTTATAGCTTGAATCCTTTGATGTTCACAGTTAAAAAACCAATAAAAACATAAGTGTAGATTACTTGAGGAACAAGGCAGTCTACTTATCCAAGAAAGTCACAGAAATTCTTTACAACTAATGCATAAAATGACTCTAAACTAGGCATGGGATATCTGAAAGTGACTATGAAGATAAATCTGGCTAACTTGCAGCAACATGAAAAAACTACCTAAAATGCATTATACAGCCATAGACACAGATATGATTTTTTTGTCAAAGAACACCTCGTCTGTGCAAAAATTATATCCTTGTAAATAGAAGACAATGAATCATCAAAATTAGAAATCAAAGACAGGAATTAAAAAAACCCAAACTAACCCAAATAAATAAAGAAATCACTGGATTAAATAGGAGATGGATTAAAGTAAGTATGAAGAACACCACCATAATTCTGTTTATGTGGAGTGTGTCATGAAGCTTAACTAAAATGACTTCTTATGTATTTTATGTAATGGGCTTACTGGAATAAATAAGTTACATTAAAAGAGCAACTAAAAATGAACAGGTTATAGGAAATGTAAATAAAACTGCTCGTATTAGACCTCAGACTGGAAAGCAAAAAAAAAGCCAAAAAAACCATTGTGCTTAGTTACTAAAGACAGACCCTCAACTCCAGTATTGCCTCAAAAATTGTTAATGGAACTATCAATTGAATTCCAAATATTTTTTCTTGTTAAGGAAAAAAAAAAGTGGAAAAAAAAAATCACCTAAGTCATTTATATTTAATGCTGAAAGAATCCGAACCTTTTTTTTTAAAGAAAATACTCAAATACTCACATCCTGATGGAACAAGTCTTGTTCAGAGGTGAATTCCCAGTGCTAAGGTGTATTAGAGTAGATTTTCAATGCTAAGCTTGAAATAGAAATGTAGTCCTTACAATAAGCCCCTGTGCATATATCTATAGGGTTTTGCAAATGTTATCAAGTCAGAATATCACTGCAGACTGAAGTAGAACTCACTGATCTGCACGCTTGTAGACATTTTTAGAAAAAGGAGGTGAAAGCAGAAGGAGATAAAGAGCAGGATTCATCTATACAAAGCTGTCTTTGATGATAAGCAAACACCTATCTTGTTGGGGCATGTTAAAGATATGGATAAATTCTAGGTCACTGCTCTAGGGAGATCAAAAATTGAGCCTTACCCTATATAAGTACACAGTATCATTCAAGCTCTGTTAGACTTGAATTTGATTCCTGTCAGTTTACCTTTTACTCTTACAAGCTTCTTTGATGTACATGACAATCCATCAGGCAATTGGTCCTTTAGAAGCTAGAAATCCCTTCTTTGAAGCTTCAAGTGAAATAAATCAGCTGTCAAGCTTCATGAACTGTATGTTTTTCCTGAACGGTTTTAAATGCCTGTTTAATGTCCAAACAATAAAATGTCTTTTCTTTGCTACATTTAGGTTACAAGTAAAATGAATATTGTCTTTGTTCTGAGTCACCTGATTTTAAATGCAAAACTGTATGTCTTTTAAAAAGTTATTGACCAAATCTAAGACACATAACTGAGATACTGCAGATTTAGTTTAAAAATACACATATACAATATAATTTTAACAGCCAAGAAATAATATGTAGCATGACAAAAAGTACATGCACATCATTTCTCTTTCCAAAGTGGACACACCTGAAGAATGCATGAGGTTTTACACCTGAGTAGCAGCAGCTCAGTGATTTCATTCCCATATTTTTAATTGCCAGTAAAATTAAATCTCCTCTCCCACTCCCTGACAGGACTTAGTAGAAGACCGTGACTGTGACCGTCATCTCTGATGACAGCTTTCTGACTACCACAATGTTGTAGGGTGCGGATGAGGCAAACCTTGCAAGTGAAAACAAGCAGCTCAGACCTCCTGTCCAATGACTCAGTCAGGAAAAATAAAAAACTGAAGGGAGAGGAGACTTGAAAATAGACCATTATAATAGATACACTTGGAAAATACTAAATCCGAGTTTCCTCTCTGCATTACATAGACCTTCTTCAAAAAATACCAACAAGTCCTATGTTACCTCTTGTACTGCCAAATTATTTATTTTTAGAAGCCACTACTCTTTAAGAATTATCTTACTTCCTCTCAAATGTTTTAGGAGATGCATGGGGGCCATGTGGTATGTAAGACTCACGATACTGAACTTAGCCTTTCTGAAGATGGATTGTAATCCAAATTTCTTACCAGTGGGGGTTAGCACTCCAGCTGCTGTGCTACTGTGTAAAAGCATCACTACAACTGCAGCAATGTCTTGCAGTAAAGAGTGGCTGAATTTCTGAACCCTGGAAACATTTCTAGGATTAGTCTGCTGAGGGAAGAGTATTTTGATGACATAAAAGAGGCTTACATTCAAGACAAGTTGAGCTGTTCAGCTCTGCAAATGCAGAATTTCTGGTGTGTACAGAGACAGAACAATAAGTAGCTAGTAAATTATCCTGGCAAAAGTTCAGCCAACCATATACTTGGGAATGCAGAAGTTGTAATGAACATTTTCCTCTTTTTAGACCTTTAAATACTTCCTGTGTATTACTATGCATTTTGGGGTTTTTTTGCAGACTTATGGAGAACTTGCATACCTTTCAGTAACTCACTGAAAACTGACTGAAACATAAAAGTAGCAGCAGAATTTAGAAGATTCACAGTTGACTCATTTGACAAAAGTACTGTTGAATACTTTCCACTACAATAAATCAAGCTACGCCATGAAGACATAGTTTTTTGACATGCATTTTTAAAGTCTTGCATGCTTTCTATTTATTGAAATTTTTCTATTTTTGTGACATGAACTATTAAAAAACAACTGTGAAATCCCCCACTGTATTTCTGATAACACGCTATAAGAAACTATAAAAATATTACTGCCAGTAATGCAAAGAGAATACTTACCAATATTAATTTCATCATCAGTTTCAGCATCTCCAATACACTCAAACTGAAAATCTTGTAAAGACTGTGAAAATTTTTGTACTGCCATGGATAAATCTAGAGTTCAAGAAAAAAGAAAAAAAAACAACAACAACAAATCAGAATTACTCCACTAGAATTTCATTGGAGCAAGCCATCATGCATTTCTGCATTAAGTATTTTTTCTGCTTACAGTTTTCTTTCTAGTATCTTTTTTGGACATTAACATCATTTTAAAATCACCATCACATTTTCAAAATCAAATACCTGAGATATCCTAGACACCTATGAAAGAGGCTGATGTAAGATTTCAAACATTAATACATGTATCACATTGACAACTAAAGAACTTTTATACATCTTGAAAAACAATAATTAGTATAAGAAATTGATGTTTAGTGATAAATTACACATGTAAATATATCACTCTTTAAAGTACTGCAATATCAGTTTGCAGAATAAAATAAAGCTTATGACAGTTTTTTTCATTATCAAAATAATTACATTATAATTATTCTGATACACCACACCATAAAGTGTTCGAGTTAAAAACCTTTCTAAAAAGAAATTGGAGAAAAAAAAAACAAACCACAAGTGCTTGCCAATCAACATGGATTATGAGCACTATTTTCAGTGAATTTCACAAAGCAATCCAAACTTTATAGTGCAGAATTTCATAATAATTGTACACAAAAAAAATACAGAATATCAACCACATAAATCTGTTATCTTATTTTCTTTTTTTAGAAATACTAATAGAAAATGGAGAAATAAATGTGATAATGGATGGATTTGGTCAAGACTTAAAACCACCACCAGTCCAGATGAGCCCAGAAAATCAACAACAATTTTCTGCATCCTGGAGGCTGTATCTATGGCACCTATTTTGATGCTAGGAAAATTAACAATTAAGAATCTAACTTCTGCTAAATCTAAGGGAAATTCATGGTAAAGGGTAAGCTATGAATGAAAGTCAAATCACAAATTGTTTTTCAAAAGCATCACATATCTGTCTCCACCCTTGGGAACGGTGAAAAGCTCTCTGGACATGGTCCTGGGCAACTGGCCCTGCTTGAGCAAGGCAGTTGGACCAGATGACTTCCATGGGTCTCTTCCAGCCTCAGTCATTTTGTGATTCTCTGATTTATTTACCCTCTATTATTGTAAAGCCATAAATACTCATTCACTCAGTGCTCGACATAAAACTAAGAGGGTTAACCTTCTTCCAGGCAGGAATAAAACCTAGCATATAAATATACAAATTGGCCTAATATCCTAAATCAACACACAAACAACTCCCATACACACAAAGCATGATTAAGTTTGAATGATCTCCAACAGTAAGAACCATTCTACGATCCTAAATGAAATAAGAATTGAAAATGACCGAAATAAAGATTTTAAACACCTCCAAACAAAAATCCACAAAATAAAATGACTGTTTTAAAAAAAAATTTCATTAAAGGTAATCCCGATTAAGCAAGAGAATCTCTTCCTGGATTTTACACTGCCCAGAATTTACTCAATGCTTGTTCCTCTTGTATTTTTATAGGTAGATATAGAGTACATCAGTCCAAAAAGAGATCTATTATCTTGGGCAATACAGACATTAACAGATTTTTTTTTTTCTTCTATTAGCAGGGAATTCTGTATGCATGTCTGATAAATAACTAAGATGTAAAGAGCTGGGTAAACAAATTCTGTATCTTTCCGATAAAGCACATGGAAAACATGAAAGAATGCTACCCAGATTTACTGCATCCTTTACTGTACATTTCCTACTACACTGTACATGAAGATTATATTATTAAGTGTATTACCAAACTGAATGCTAAATAAGAAGTGCTTCCTACTGTTTGTATAAATGAAAACAAAATAATTTTTATAAGATGAAGAACTGCGTTTTATGCAAATACAGCCTCTCTCATAGCTAAGTAAAGATCTAAACTTGAATTTCCCACAGTAGTATATTTTAAGTTTAAAGGGAAGAAACACAGTTTTATTACTCACTCTTTCACCAAGTTACTACACTGAGTCCCAAACCCTTCTACAAAATTGCTGTATGGCAACTGATGACAAAAGGAATTACATGGCCTTAATGTAATTGAATGAAAAAGTTTCTATATTGCAAGTGCACTGGAATGTAAAAATTAACTCTTGCTAATAGGCATGGAGATTTATTTCCTTTGGACAATCTAATAACTGCCCATGATGAACAGCATCTCTGTGAATGTGAAAGGAAATGAGGGAGCGTGGGCTCTCCCCTATCATTCTTCCACACATGCAGGACTTGGTGGAACAAATGTCAAAGGAAAGGAAAATAAATGTTAAAAATACCAAAAGTGGAGTCTCCATTTAATATCCTGGATTACTGATATATGATGCCAATCTTTCTTTTATTGTGTCAGCAAAACAGACACAGCTTATACATTTTGAACCTGAAGGAGGTATGATTAACTAGTTTAGAAATAGTGGGTATGAAGAATTAAGAAGCTTATGAGATAACTTGAGAAAGTCGTGCAGCAAGATACCATTTGGAGATATCTGCCTCTATATGAGACCCGTCCTAATACCTTGAGAGTATTAGACAGTACCATAATGAGACTGAAGTTGTTCAACGTAGCAAAGAATAAAAAGAAGTTCAAGGGTCAGATGTTTTCTGTAACACTAATTTACAGTTCTGTACGAAGTTAATCTAACCCGAAAAGATAAAAAATGTCTATTCTACAGAAAATTACAGCTGACTTGGACTGCTTCCTAAAGGCTGAAATAGGAGTTACTCTCCAAGACTCTGATATTGCAGTTGAATCACCAACATTGGACCAAGTGGTGCTACTTCATTGTATTTATTACCTTCCTAGGAGCATCATCACTTTAAATTATTATAAAATTATAAACCAGTCACAGAAAGGAGTAGCTGTGCAGTAAGCATATCTTTTCTGAAAGATACCAAGATTCAAAATTGAATTAAAATGGATTTAAGAGCAACTATCTCAAATCAAGAAGAGGCAAATGATGGACAAAAAAATGAAAAGAGTAGACAGAGCAAAGACCTTGCCCAGTTTTGTAAGATGTCATTTATCCCTGTATATCCCAAAGTCTTAATGTCACTGACAGTCCTCAATGCATGCTGCTGCTTCTAGAAGGAAGATAATCACCACAAAAATCACCTTTTTAGAATCTGTGGCGTTATTCAGCATTGCCCTTACTCAGCAAGTACATTGTAAAGTCATGTCCCTCTTTTCATTAAATCCACATGAACTAGGACATTCACTTAGGGCAGAAATTTTCCTTCAAGCAGAGACAACTGATCTTCTAAGTTAATATAAAAAGCTCACCAGCTTTACTGATTGGCAGTACAAATCTATCATCCAGGGAAGGATGGCTGCTCAAAAGCCTCAATGAGTTCACAAATGTTGTTGCCCTGATCTTCTGCAGGCTCTCAAATGAAGTAATCTCTCTAGGTGCCAGCAAAAGAAGGAAAATGCAACCTGATAACCCTCATTTGCCAGAGAGCTAATATTTTCTGAGAGTACTCACCTCTACCATTTGTTCCCTGCTTTTTCCGATTCCAAAGAAGGATTCAGTTCCATTTTGCAGTGAGGCACATAGTCAAGAGTAACCATCTACACACTACATACTGTCAGTGCAAGGAGATAACTGTGACAGAGTTGCCTGTTTTAGTCAGGGCTGCAGCAAGTCAATGGGCCAACAAGATTTCTTTTTGTGGAGCTAACAGAGGAAGTACTAAAGAAGTTACCACACTGTGACCGGAAATAATAAAAGGATAACTACAACAAAGCATAACCACAACAAAGTAATATAACTTGGTATATGTATTGCAGTATTGCAAATGGATACACACAATACCAACCATCGCTACCATAATGCTAATGAAAGAATAATAAAAGTCATCATCCATTCAGGAAAGTCACCAAGAAATCATGAAATGCACTTATATTGTACTTCTCCCTGAAGTTTTATATATTTGAGTAATCTACTTAACACATATTTTTCAATTTAAAAAAGCAAAAAAATCCTCTGGATTATTCTAGAAGGCAGGTTTATTTAAGACTCAGTTTCTTTGAAATCGCCAAAGAGAAGTATGTCATATGAACTGCAATATATTAACTTATTTTAGGTATCAGGGCCTTACAGCTAAATATAGGATGATAAAACTATGATTCAGACCCTTTTTATCACCAGAATTGTTCTTCCACTTTCATGTCCTAGATTTGTTAAACAGATCATAAAATAATTTCTTATTTAGAGTCTTGAGGAGGAGGAGAGAACAATACATTGCAGCAATGTGATGAAATGACCGATGCTATTTCCCAAAGGATAAAAAAAAAAGTGTATGCTTTGGCATGGCACAGCCTGTCACAACAAGGACAAAGCCCTACAGATAAGGACACTTTAAAAGATTTCCACAAGTTGGTAAGCACAATTAATTTTTTATTGGGCTGGGAAGGTTGTCATTTGTTAGATTTTGCCAGTCTGGAAGAACAACAGAAAGTCCAAACTTGTGACAAGGATCAGTCAATCTCCAAAAACAGAAACTCTGGACCATTTGCAGAGGACTCATATCCCTACCCTAGTAGCAAGAAAGTGTTCTCAGCAAACACATCAAAGCCAAAATCTTTCCACTTGTTTGCTTACAAAGATGACTTCATTAACAAATGGAGTTCCAATAACCAATGTTCTTCCTGACTGATGTCAATCATCCTGGGAAAGCTTGGTATCATTCACTGGGTAATAAAGAAAAACAGCAGTTGAAACCTAGTGAGAAGATTAAACATGCCTAAATGAAGTCCTGAGCACCAGCTGGAATGCAGTAAATGAGACTTCCAACAACAGACACTGGCTAATACAATAACAGCAACATATCTGGCTATCTGACACAAAGCTAGCTATTATTCCATGGCTTCAAAGACAGCAGAAGCAAAGGGTTGATGATTGACCAAGCAGGATATTAGAGGCAATCCTTCAGTTAGCTGAATTTCAGGACAGCAGAAGCCTGGAAAGGAGACCACGTACAGTCACCTTTGGTGTTTCAAACCTTTGGGGAAGTATGAGTC